GCCTCCCCTGTGGGCCACCCCATGCTCCCAGCTGCCCCATGGGGCAGACTGTGCAGGTCTTTTTACCCTGCCGGTAACTGAGACCTAAAGGGTAAAGATCCTGCCCTCACCCACCCTACTGGCAAAAGAGAGGGCTGGAACCAGAATGACAAACATGCAGTGCTGACGAAGCATTAAAGAATGAGTGATATGCGCAGTATATGTGGCACACAGTAATCCAAAAACACATTCTGAAGGTAATGATTCATTTTACCTGTGACTAAAATAATCCTCATTTTCACCTTACTGGCAGTATTTCCGTGGCACTTACTGTGTGCCACATACCAGTAAATGAATGCTAAGCCACTTGATCCTCACAAGAACCCTAGAAGGTGGGTCTTTTTATTGTCACCCATTTTACAGATGAAAAAAGTGAGGCAGAGAGAGGTTAATTAACGTGCCCAAGGTGACACAGCCAGTAAGCCACAGACCCCTTCTAGTCCAAATTTAAAGCCGTGCATGGTGATTATGCCTTGTACAAGCTATTGATCCTGAGAATCTAAATGTAATTAAATGTTCATCTATACAATTTAATTTCTAGCCAGATTCTTTTAAAAAAAAATCATCAAAATCCTAGATGCTCATGGTCTCATATCTACAGCACAGTTAGGATGAAAGGCAATGTCTCCCAGCCCCAGGGCCCTCCCTATTTCTTTCCACCACCAGCTGCTGCAGGGTGGAATGAGAACATCTTCTAGAGACAGATGGAAGGAAAGGCGGGACTCAGCAATAATCTGAAATTCATTCTTTGCCTAATTTGTGGGGAGAAGGCTGAATGACAAGGTATTTTTCTGAGACCAATGTCAAATGACATGGGCAATGTGGAAATTGCCCCCAGGGGCCAGGCAGGTCCACACGGAGCTCTGGGGCTAGGGGGACCTGAATGGCTCTGTGAGGTCTCCAGAGGACTGCAGAGGCCACTGCGGACCCTCTCCACGCACGATGCGCCCACATCCGATGAAGTGGAAAAGCCTCAGATGTCCTAGGTTACATGAACCTGGGGCCTGGCACTCTCTGAGCTTCAGCTTCCCCCTTTGTAAACGGAGGTAACAGCAGCAGCCACATGCTTGGGTGGCCTCACGATGGGAGGTCATGCCATTTCTCTGCACAGATGTAACAGCCTGGCACACAGGAACCCAGGCGATGTGTTAGCAAAGTTTTACTTCTGTGGCTTATTGAAGCAAACGTGTCCCATCCTTCTGTCAGATACACCTGTCTCTCCTCACCCCCCTACCCTCTCCCAGCCTCAGCGGAATTCACCCCAGCAAGGGGTGCAAAAGGAAGGTCAGCTCCCACCCAACAGGGATCCACCAGGATTAGGGATTCTCAACGTCCCCAGTTCCCCTTTGGTGCAGATGGGTGAAGCTTCACTCCATGACTTCGAGACCTAAACCATGTCTTGGGAGAAGGGCTGGTTAGCTGTGAAAATCCTCCAGAAGGTTAGCAAATCAACAGAGGGCTACACTTGCACACCTCACAGTGAGCCAAGGCGCCCCTTCTGTCCCCAAAGACACACACTGCATTCCCCGAGCACCGCAGCTTGCAGCTCAGAGCCACTTGGCTTGGGCCGTAGGGGCTGTTGCCAGTAAGTGCCCACCGTCTGCATCTTCCTCCTCCTTGGAACTTCCCAGAAGAGGCCCCAACGGAAGGGTCTGTCGCTGAAACTGAGCTCAAATTACTTGGGCTCCAAGGAAAGAACCATAGACTCTGCTGGCTGGATGGAACCCCAAAGGTTCATCTGTGGCAAGCTCCAGTCTCTAAATTCAGCTCACTCCAGAAATAACAGCCTCTACCCACTCCTGAGCGTGGGAAGAGATGTAGAACAGCATTTCTGAAACTTTAAGGTACATACGAATCACCCAGGGATCTTGTAACACAGAGTCTGATTCAGTAGGTCTGTCGGGGCAAAGATGGCTGAGATTTTGCATTTCTAACAAGCTCCCAGGTGAGGCATCGATGCTGGTGGCTCTACAGACACACCTTGAGCAGGAAGGATCTAGAAGGTTTCCTGCCCTCAGAAGCTCCTGCTTTTAGAGAAGAAATACAGTACATGGGTAGATTGGGCTCTCTAAGACACAAGCTATTTATTTTTTCCAACCACAAACCACAGTGTTTTTATTTATTTATTTTTTGTAAAGAGTTTATTTATTTGAGAGAGAGAACAAGAGGAAAAGAGCATGAACGGGCAGAGGTGGGCAGGACTGAGAGAGAAGCAGACTCCCAGTTGAGCAGGAAGCAGACATGGGACTCGATCACAGAACTCGATCTTAGGACCTGGAGATCATGACCCGAGCTGAAGGCAGACTGAGCCTGAGCCCCGAGGCACCGCACCACAGTGCCTTTAACACCATAGAAAATTAACTGTTGGGTGGAGGAGCAGATGGTTCTGATATGAAGATCAAGTGTACAATCAGAACAACTGGCAATTACTACACTGTCCTAAAAATGACATAGCTAAGTAAAAATGTCCTGGGGGGGCGGGGAATGAACGAAGGAGGAAGGAAAGAAGGAAATTAAGGGGAGGGCAGTACATGATGAAAAAGGATCTCTGAACCTCCAAAGAGTCTTCTTCCCACCACCCCTGCCCCGGCTAGGACACCCCACTGTGGAACTCAGTATGACTGACGGATGCATTGTATCCCCTCCCAGAGTGTGTGCCTGGCCCGTGTCTCTCATCTCTGAATCCCTGGCTCCTAGCACGAGACCTGGCTCTCACAGGAGTTCCATAAATACATGTTTTGTGAAACAAATAGGGATAATTGCTCTAATCATGAAGGATTTTGATTTTAGGGGTCAGGTGGAGATTATCTCATTTAAATCTCATAACAACCTTGTGAGGTCTGTAATATTATCATCTGCTTTTCACAGAAGAGGAACACAGAACTCAGAAGGATTGAATAAAATGGCCAGTTGTGTGTGATCAGGGGTTGGGATGAGGACGCAGGACGCTAGGCTCCCGGAGCCCATGCCCTTGACCGAGAGAGGGCGAGGTTTTGTGAGGCCTGAAGCTTTCTGAGGGGCCCTTTTTTCAGAAAAAAAAAAAAAAAAAAAAACCAGACCAAAAAACTGCTGCACAATTTCCAATAACATGTCCATGTGGACAAATCTCTGGGACCTTTCCTGGCCTTGGAGCGGCCAACACAAGGGAAGCGGGGGGCGGGGGGGGGGTTGGGGAGGTGACATCTACAGCTCAGGCTGCGTTAGCTTCACGGCGAAACTGCCTCTGATCTTGACCCACATGCTGGAAATGAGAGGGAAAGGAATAGGAAGAGAGAGGGAGAGATCAGAGGAGAGCAGAAGGAAGGGAAGAGAGGGGGAAGAAATCCAGGATAGGACTCTAAAGAGATAAGTGAAAGAGACAGTGGTCAGAGGGGGGACAGGAGGCAGTTAGTGGGGAGCTAAGGCTGTCCCTGGATGAATTGGTGGGGAGAGTCCCGCAGAAGTTCCCATCTGGCTCCTGGGAGGTACGGGGCCCTCTGCACCTCCACCTGCAGATTCTGCAGCCTTTTCCCAGACACCACAGCAGCCCCGCCTTTCCTTGGGCCCCCAGACCCCCCAGGGAGCTGGGCCCAGAGCTAAGCCAGAAGGGTCGAGGAAGTACCCCTCCAACATGCCGCCCCAGCAGCACTCTAGTGTAGGCAGCTACCTCTCTTTCCTGGTTCATCACCTGAGCACCCAGAGAGGAGATTCAAATGTGGGCCACACAAGGAACCAGGGCTGGGGAGAGCTGGGCGCAGGGTGGCCCACTGTCCTTGCACTGTCGGACTGCGGGAGTCCTCCTTAAAAGGGAGGCACCCACCTAGGTCTTTGCAGCCTGTCCCCCAAAATCACCTGTTCTGACATGAGAGGCACTTCACTCTGCTCCAGACTTCCAGTTCCAAAGCCCCCTGCCCTAGAGGGGGGAAGGGCTGGTGCCATGTTGGCTCAAGAGACCCTCAAATCAGCCCCGGGTTTGTGCTGCTCAGAGACAAGTCCAAGGTCACCCCACACTGAGTAGCTGAGAGGGGGCCAACCAGCAGTTAAATCTACCCCCCTCCTGCTCAGACATCACTACCATGTTCCATGAACCGTGTTTCCCAGACCTTAGGCCTAGAGCTTCAGACACTCGCACTGCTTTCAGCCTGTTCACGTGGAGAACACCAGATTCACGTCCCGGCTCTGCCAAAAACTTGGTGCAATTTGGGGGCCACCCACTTCCTGTCCATGAGCTCTGATCACTTCAATGATCCAATGGGAACAAAACGTTTCCTCACATGTTTGCGTGGGCCCCAGGCATGGAGGGGCCAGGGTACATGTCTACCCTGGGCTGGTCTCCAGGAGGGTCAAAGCCAAGGAACCGAAGACCTGGATTTGTTCGGAATCAGACGCTAATTTACTGTGTGGTCTTGGGTATGTGGCCTTGCCTCTCTGATTCATGGTTTCACCTCATCTAACCCCTGCCCGGGGAGGTGTGTATGAGGCGGGGGGGGGGGGCAACTCAGCCCAAGATATTCAAATATGTAATTACCAGTAAGGACGGGCAAGGGACACGTGGAAGGGGTGTCGGCAGGTGCGCTGGGTAGGAGCCCCGCAGGGACCAGCTCCGCACCTGGGGGCCAGGGCAGGGGGCATAGCGCATCTTCTCCAGGGCAGAAGGTGCTCTGTGAGCCTTCCCAACCTGTTGCTCCACACATGGCAACAATCCAGTCCTCCCTGAGCACCCCAAACTCCTCCGCCTTCCCACAACCCCCATCAAAAGCACCCACACATGGAGAAGTGGCAGGGCTAGGAGAGAGAAAGGGAGCACCCTCCGACATCCCCACCAGCAACACGGGGGGGGGGGGGGGGAGTCATTCAGGCAGGAAGGCTTTTGCAACATCCTAGGCGTGTCCCCTATACGGAGGCCAAAGGGCCATGAATGACTCCAGGTGTGTTCCAGCCCCTAGGACAGTGTCAGGTTACAAGATGCATTAATCATTCCAGTTTAGCAACTTCGCCTGTGAGGTTGTTTTAATCAACTGGCCCCACGGTCCCCAATCACTCCTGGAACAGGGCGGTGGAGGCGGCCAGGGTGCTAAGGGGAGAGGGATGCAGCACACGCGGCCCCGAGGCGTGCCCTGCACTTAAGGCCTCTTCCAGCCGCCGCTGCCCGGGGCCTCCGAGCCGCTGCCAGGCAGGGCCCATCCAGGAGGCCCTCCAGACAGCCACCCCTCAGCTCCAGCCTCAGAGAAACCTGGCAGATCGCAGAGCCGGCATGGTGAGTGCGGGCGCCCTCTGCTCTGAATTTTGGGGGAGGGGAGGTCTCCCCATAAAGGGCCCTTCTGGCAGCCTGTGGATTTTGTAACAGCTTCCCAGTGAGAAAAGAGGTCACACCGAGTCACCCCCACATTCAGGCCCTAGAAGCCTCAGTACCCCCCTGCCCTCCTCTCCCCTTTTTTACCAAAGGGCGCTGCACAGCACCCATGAAGCTGGACACATGGGCCACTATTCCCTCCTAAATCCTGCCCGCTCTTCGTGCAAGGTCTCCGGGTCTGTTGGCTAAGGTTGGCACTGTTGTTCCAAGGGCAAGGGGCTGTTGTGACGGCCCCGTCACCTCCCTGGGGTAATGGACTCCTTTTCTTCTTCAACCAAACAATGGACAGCTGCCCCAAAACAACCCAATGTGTGCAGGGATCTACTTGGTCTCTTTCTGGGCCCTGTCCCCTCTCTTCCTCCCCCTCTGAGCACCTAGAGAGCTTCTTCACTGTCTTGGGACAAAGAGAATCAATCCCATCTTTCCAGGACAACTGAGGACAGGGAGGGGAAGACATAATATCTGGATCTGAGTGGGGGATCTCAGGGAATCTTCCTTCTCTGCTTCCTGGAGAACAGGTTGCAGTTGCCAGAAAATCAACACAAAAATGAAAGGGGAGGGAAAAAGAAGGAAGGGGAAGCTTTCTGTCCAAGGGGAACAGAGGTGACTGGCTGGGGCCTCGCGAGCGGCGGTCCCCTGACCCCCAGCCTGAGCACTTCCCATGACATTCCTCTGGAAAGTCTGGCAAAACTCTAGCCCCAGTGCTGGGGTAGCAGAGGGTCAGGAAGGGGGAAGGGCTTGCCTGCTTTGCTCTGCAATTCAGCCGGCTTACCCTGTCCCCATCCAAGGAAGCACCTAGAAGCTGATCCCCCATGGTCCTGCTGGGCTCTCTGGAGAGAAGAGGAAGTAGCGCCTGCCTGCGAGCTGCTTTTTGGGGGCACTGGGGAGACCTGGGTGTCTCCTGAGAGAGTAGAGACATTAGGAAGGAGGTAGATTCTAAGGCACTTAACTGGAGCACAAACTATAGGATCAGAGAGTCAAATGGCAGCTCCCTTATTAGCGTATTATTCCGGACACTTTGCTCTTCCTGAGACTCATCATCTTCCTCTGTAAAATGGAAACATTTTCCATGCCACCCCCTATGCACACACACAGTGGGTGGAAAGATTGAATGGGCCAGTGATGCGAATAGCTGCATAAACCTCGAAGCCCTGTACAAATGTAAGGACCCAGAGGAATCCACTCCAGGAAATGACAGGTGGGCGGCACAGCCAACATGAGCTTCACCAGCCGGAGAGGGAGCTGGACATTGCCGTATGAGGGAGGCAGGGCAGGTGGGCACACAGCAGCACGGGTAAGGTCTGAGGCCCCAACAGCAAGGTAGCAGCGGGGCCAGGATCCTGGGCAGGGCCAGGGAGCTTCTGGCCCAAGCTAACCACTAAACCACCTGTGCCTAATAACCCAGTGATTCCCTCTAATGAGGCCCGGACAACCATAGCTCCCAGCCCTGGGGAGCAATGGAACAGCTCACACCCAGGCCCAGCCCTCCCTTTCCCCTGCCCCTCCCTGCCTCCCTCTCACCCCTGCCGGCCCGCCCTGGACAGAGTCCTGTCTGGTTGCTACCTCACCACAGTGGTTCTCCCTTGAGAGCTGGGCATGACTGGGAGGACCCAGGGAGAGCAGGAGCTGCGGAAGGCCCCGGGCAGAGGTCTGAGCCCAATCTCTGACCCCAAGGGAAATGTGGCCCTGTTAACTCAGCTGCAGTTGAGCCCCAGAGGGAAACCTAGGACCCTGGCAAGAGCCATCCTGGTCTCGGCTCCTTACTGCCCACGAGGCCCCAAATATACCATGAGCTACCAGAGCAGAGTGTTAGACACCTGAGGTCAGTCCTGGCCTGGCTGCTCCAGAGGAAGCAGGTTCTCCTCAAGGGTTTGCTGGGCTTCGCTGGACCGAGGAGCAGGTCAGCAGGCCTGCCGTGGCAGTGGGGGTCTGGGAGCATGGGCAGGCCTACCGCAGACGGGCTGAGTTGGCCGCCCTCTCAGCCCTGGTGGTGCCATTCTGGGCTCTGCAAAGACCCTGGAGGGCAAGGTCGGCAAGGAAAGGCTGGGTCCCTGCCTGCCCCCCGGGTCCCCTCACTACCTGGGCGAGGGGCTTGATGCTGCTGTGACCCCAAAAATAGTTCCATCCACCTAACCATTTAACCAGCCCCTGTAAGTGGCCAGCCTCCAGACGGCAGGAAGGGGGGCAAAAGGGTACAGTGACCACATTCTGCCCCATAACCTCCCAAAGTCGATAGCTCCTTACGCAAAGGATCATAAGAGAATGTGCCAAGTCCAATACCAGGGGGGACTACAAGGCACCCCTAGGGCAGAGAAGGCAGGGAATTCTCTCTAGGGTGGTCGGGAAGCTGTTTCAGAAGAAACAGTGGGCTGTTGCGCCAGGCTCTCTCCAGGCAGAGACGGTGGGAAGCATGTTCCAGGCAGAAGGAACTACATGGGAACAGTGAGAGTGACAGATGGGGGCACTGGGGAGGCTGGAGCGGGGGGAACAGGTTGCAGAGAGGGACACAGCTGGGGGCCGGAAACCCCACGGTGGTCCCGCAGGCCCCTGCTTGGCGCTTGGGTTCAGGGTCCCCACAGAGCCCTGGAGCCCAGTGGGGCCAGGCCAGCTCCCGGAGGCTCACACTCTGGGCCGAGCCACGTCCAGAATGGGGTCGAGGCCACCCTTGCCCACCAGGCAGTGCAGCGGGCACCCAGCTCCGTTCCTGTATTCCACACGATGTGAGATTCCTCTGTGCTGGCACTAGCCTTGCTGGCAAGAGAAAGCAGACACGGGTCCTGCCCTCACGGAGCCCCGAGTCCAGAGGGGGTGGAGGGCGGGAAGGGACAGACGGTTCTCAATCACATCAACCAAGGCTAACTAACAAGTGACAACGGTGAGGCGTGGAAATGCACAGGGGCTGTGAGAGCTCAGGCCGGGATGTGGCCTCATCTGGGGGTCAGGGGAGCCTCGGCTGCACAGGAGCCAGGAGGGTGGGGAGGAGGGGCAGTTCCAGGCAGAGGGAACAGAGGATGCAAATGTGGAAGCACATTCCCAGATCCCCTTCCACCTCCCAGGGCTCTTCCCATGCAGCCTTTGGGTAGAACTCTGGCCTGGCTCCTGACAGGGACAAGTGTCTAGGCCTCAGGTCTCCTCCGTGCCCCTGGCCTCTCTCCCACCATCCTTCCTTGTGCCCAGCTGCAGAGGCCAGCAGTCACAGGCAGCAACCACCCTGTACTCCTCTAGCCGGCTTCTTTGACAAAGCCTAAGAGGATCAGAGGAGCTGATTTGGGGAGGGGGGATGTAACAAGGGAGAAGATGGGGAACAACAGGACTCAGGAACTCTGAACAGACTTTCCACCTTGGGAAGTCAGGAGACAGAGGCTCTCAGGCCTGAGAATCTGCATTTCAGATTTCCCAGCAGCTCCCCGCAGCATTCCCTCTTGTTCAGATGAAAACATCTACTCAGTAAAACCCTTCAAATTCCCAAGCAACAATTCCCCCAAGGCAGCAAATCCCTCACAACCTAAAATGCGCTCATTTGCCACAGTTTTATTTAAACCTGTTGTCACCAGGCTGTGAGCTTCTTGAGGACCGGGTCTTTGCCACCTGTTGCCCCTAAACCTAGCACAGGGCCCAGCACACAACAGGCACATGATAAATGTGTGTGAGTGAATGACAAGTAAATGACAAAAGACTGAATTCCCATAACCAGCTGATTTATCTGACACTGATAACAAAGTGAGCCAAGTCCAACTGGAAAAGATGCCAGATTCTATCAGAGGTGTTGCCAAGGTGTTTTAAGTCAGGGCTGGGGTGAGGGAGGGACAGGCCCAAGCCTGCCTGGAAACCCCAGGGACTGGAGAGAGAGTCTGAGCAGAGCCCAAGTGGCAATCCCCCTGCGACGCACTTAGCTCCACCCCACAGCCTGCTGCTCTATCACAACTGCAGCACAGAAATTGGTAAACAAGGCTCAAAACCACAACACCCCCAGCCCCCTCCCTCCCAAAGCAGCTCCCAGTTCCCTGGCATAATCCACATGCAACCAGAAACTCTCATAGGGTAGCGGGTGAACAGGATGCTTGAGGGAGAGGGCGAGATACTCAGGTGGCACCTGTCCACGGTGGTAGCAGTCTCCTGTCACGACCTGTCCTGCAAGTCGGGCTGGCTAGGCTCAGCCACATTCACAGGCTGAGCCCACCATGGCTTTAGGCATTTCCTGTGATTGCAGTTTCTTCCTTTATAATATGCATTCACTCCTTCATGCAGCATGTGTTCCTTAAGCATAAACTATGTGCTAGGCATTGGCAAGAACCTGAAGATTCAGAGAATATGTAGAATCAGAGCTCTCAGTTTTATATCCTCCACAGATGGAACAGAGGCAGGGTAAAGAGCTCCCCCCACCCCGGGCAGAGCAGGCCACCTGTTCACCCACAGATGTTGACACCAAGAGGGTAACACAGCTGAGGTCACTCCTCCTTGCCTCCATCCCATTCCCACCCTGACACGGGGCCTTCATTCATGATCACATCTCTGATCCCCAGAGAGGACGGTACTGCAGGGCCATTGGGAGCATCTCTCCCGAGTCACGGGTGGTCTAAAGAGAATGCCAACAGCAACATCTCGTCCCTACCTGAATGCAGCAAGCACAGCATCTTGCAGCCTGAGAAGCACCTTCACATCCAGAATCTCCCTGAATCTGACACCAGCTAAGACATCATGATCCTTGTTCTACAAATGAAGGAATCCCAAGGCTCAAAATGTTGATGACGACCTGAAAGGGTCACTTGGCCAAGAAGAGTCAGGGCAAGATCCCTAAGCTCTAGGACTTCAATATCAAGTACCCAGATTTTTCCTTATGCCCTCCTTCTCCTCCAAGATGTGAACCCATAGATGTGAACCTGAGACTAGACCTTGAACTTGCA